AGAAGGATGAAACTGTGGATCACCTTATCAGTGGCTGCAGCAAAATTTCACAGACTATCTACAATGTCATGATCAAGTTGCTGGAAGCTTTGCCAGAAGTTTAGATTCAAATGCAGTAAAAATCACTGGGAACACCAAGTTGACAAAGTTCTTGAAAATGAACAGGTCAAGATCCTGTGAGACTTTCGGATCCAGACAGACATTTGGCCCACAACATGCCTGACATCACTATAGTGGAAAAGAAAAAAGTCTGGTTCATTTGATATTGCAATATCAGGTGAATTGAAAAGAAACAGCTAGAAAAAATAATGACATTCTGATTTGCAAATTGAAGTTGAGAGGTTGTGGAGAAAGAAATCAATAGTTATACCAATAGTAATAGAAACCCTTGGAGCAATATCCAAAGGGCTGCCTAGATTCATGGAAATTTTGAACTTATTACTCCTGAATATTCTGACCTTGCAAAAAACTACACTACTCAGAACTGGAGGAGGAGGAGGAGGAGGAGGAGGAGGAGGAGGAGAAGAAGAAGAAGAAAGTGGTCAGCCTGCAGCTTCAAAGAACTCTGGAGAATATAAATTATTTGAACACCTTCCAATCTGATTTCAGAATTGGGTTACAGTCAGAACTGCCTTGAGTATGCTTACAATACTATCAACCCTGCAAGGTAGTCCAGATTAAGAAACCCATGCCATAGGGTATGAAGTATAGACTACTTCCATGATGGTGTACTTCAGGCAATGTTTTGTCTTAACAGAGCAGGTAAAAGTCTATACAATGGTGACCAAACTGGGTATCTAAGATATATAGGATAGACGATTTTTAATAACCACAACCAAAAAAATCACACAGATCCAACAAAACCACTTCCAGGAACGCAGTTGACTTCCAAACATGGAGCCACTTTAATAGAATCAGGACAGGACATGCCAGAACTAAGACAAAGCTCTTAAGTGTAGATGGTTGAGAGCTTGCAATGCAACTAAGGTGCACTGGAACAAACTATAATATATATAGCTCAAGAATGTCTGTTCAGGAAATTCCTAGGCACTTGGGATAATAATCTGGAAAATCTGGATGTCCTTTCTCTGTTTATTTTTATGTGAACCAGGGAGGGGCTTGTCTGAGTCATTTTCTCAAGTTCCTTTCTTGGTGGAGGGTGCTCTTCAACTGTTGTCTTGATAGTAGTTCTTCCTCCTGTCCTTCAAGACCATTCTGTCTGTTTTCTACAGATACCCTCTGGCAAGAGCAGAATAGTATGCCCATTCTTGCTCTTCTTGACTTCTCAGCAACTTTTGAGACCATCAGTCATAATATCCTTCTCAATTGGCTTCAGGAGTTGGGAGTTGGAAGCACATTGTTACATTGCTTCTTCCTCCAGGACTTTTTTTAGTGTTGATTGGGGGCAGATATCTAGTTCAAAGCATTGGGGTTTCAGGACTGAAGGGGACTCTTCCCACTTTTATTTAACATCTACTGAAGCCACTGGGTGAGGTCATTTGCCAGCATGGGGTGAGGTATCATCAATATGCTGATGATACTCTGCTTTGTATCTCTGCTCCTGGCCTATGAAGGGATGCAGTGGAAGTTCTGTCTCATTGTCTGGAAATTGTAGTGGTATGGATAGGGAAACCAGTCCCCATTCATGGATTATTGCTTTATATAGTGCTGCCCTTGAAGAGCATCCAAAAGCTGTAGCTGGTGCAGAATGCAGTGGCACAAGCAGTTATGACTGTTCCTTGGAATGCATGTCATATCACTGCTCCACAAGCTGCATTGGTTGCTTCTATGCTTCTGGGGGCAATTCAAGTTTTCATTGTTATATCTGAAACCCCTCATGGCATAGGACCAGGTTATTTGCAAAACCGCTTCTCCCTCTTTGTTTCTATCAATCCTATTGGATTCAGGAGCCATATTGTAGATCTCCTTGATCAAGGACTTGAGGAGCAGGTCTTTACAATTAACCAGTGAAACAACCTGCCTCCAGAAGCGATGAATGCTCCAACACTGGAAATTTTTAAGAAGAAACTGGACAGCCATTTGTCACAAATGGTATAGGGTTACCTGCCTGAGCAGGGGGTTGGACTTTATGACCTCCAAGGTACCTTCCAACTTTATTATTATTATTATTATTATTATTATTATTATTATTATTATTATTATTATTATTATTATTATTATTATTATTATTATTATTATTATTATTATTATTATACAGTACCACTCAAAATTAGATTGGCTCCAACTCTGCCGGTTTTTCAGAAGGCTTCAAAATATGGTTATGTTCCCAAGCATAGAATTTGTGTTAGCAGAACCTTATGACTGTCAGAAGAATAAATTGGGGTTCCAACTTGAGGTGGGATTCCACAAGAACAAATGAAAATGAAATCCAACAGCTGTAGGTAAAGATTTATTTATTCCCAAATCAAAGAGGTTTCCCTGTGGCGGTAGCTACAGAGAAAATGAGATACAAAAGTACTGTTTTATAGGGGAGCTTGTCATTGGTGTGGGTCTTGAGGGATGTGGATGTGTGTATGTGCTGGTTCTAGGGTGACACTTGAGGAAACTGGATGTGTTGACCCCTGGCCAACGGGTTGATTAAATCAAGTGATATAGATTGAGTCTCTTCATTTGAACTACAAGTGTTATAATTATATTTACATTGTGTTAAGTGTTTAATTAATTTTTTATGTTTGCTGTGAGTTTAAAGAATTTCAAAGGCCTTTAATCAGTAACTTTGTTGGAATCTGGGTTAGTTAACATATGATTCCCTACATAATATTTCTAACAGCTATATAAATGTATAGATTCTTCTCACATGACTGATTGCAGGAACACTGCAGCATCCCCACCTGTCTCCCGGCATCCCCTCCCACCAGGTTCCCAGAAGCCTGGAGGGTGGGAATCATTCCCAAAGCCTGCATGGGCCACAAGGGGCAGGAAATGGAGCAGAGGGTCCCTTAGGGGTTTGAGGAGGATTTGGGAGGTCCAGGTCAGGTGGGCCTCAGTCTGCAGTAGGTCTCAGGACCTCCTTTACCCACGAGGCACCCCGAGTTCTACTTAACAATCTGCACAGTCACTTAATGGATGCAACGGGGAGAGCAGGAGTGGCAATCAGATGGACACTTCGCTTAACAACTGTCATGACTTGCCTCCATAAAGGGCAAGTTCCATTAGAGTTGAAAGTCAAGGCTACTTGTATATAAATGGATGGGGGAGGGAGGGAGGGGGGAAGGAAGGGAGGGAGGAAGGAAGGGAGGAAGAAAAAGAAAGAAAGAAAGAAAGAAAGAAAGAAAGAAAGAAAGAAAGAAATTTCTCCCACATGATCTCTCCACATCAGATGGGTAATGATGCCATTGACTGAAGTGGGAGATCCTACAAATCTTCCACATGGTGCATCAGTAGCCATGGTAGCATTTCATATGCAGTAATATTTCTGGTACTGTCACTATCTGCTTTTCCAGCACAGATGTCAATCTACTGTGCAGGGGGTCTCTGGGATCTGATGGCTGAAGCATCCCTTTAAAAAAAATGAAATTGTTGGCTGTCAATACTAATTTAACTGCAAATTGGGTTACATGTTTGTATCTATTTAGTTTAAGGATCAAGCCAAAGTCTATATACTGTAAGGAAGAACAATTATCCACATTTTCCATTTGGTATTCTTTTGCACATTTGATTTCTTTCTAAGATGAAAAGATGCAAATGTTGCTATTTTTCCTCACTGATTGTGCTTTTTTGCAGCTGTGCAATATCCCTTTTGTATGTTGGATGTGTCTCTGACCAGAATTGTCCATAGTATTACAAATGTGAGTCTATTATTGATGATCTTGGGCCAAAGACAATTCCAGAAATAATTGTTGGGTAAATGATGGTGGAAGCCATTCTTAATAGAACAAGTATTTAATTCACACACTACAATCTGCATTCTGACTGAAACCTTATAAATATTTTAGAGAACTCTAATTCCACAGAGTCTTCCCTGGCTCCTTGAAATAGTCTTATAAAGTTGCACTGTTTTTCCCATTGGATGGGGAATCTCTTTTATGTCATGTTATAGTGGAATGAGCTACCCCAATATCCCATTTATGGTCCATGAACTTATGAAATAAAAAACTTCAAGAACCCAGAATTTGAGCAAGCAATATTTAATGATTTAAAATCAACACAAAACCACCTTGTATAATTGAATTTCTAACTTGTAGCTGTTTCCCCCCCCAGAAAAGTATGGACAGAATTGCAGCCCCGATAAACTTAGAGAAGAGGAAGTTCTTGCTTTTACAAGGAACTGAAGCATGTTAAATATCACTGAACTAATCTACATAGTCATTCATATTGCGTTAGAATTAGTAAACATATGTCCTGCTGCAAAATATGCTTGAAAGTTATCTCAAATGCAATCAACTACAATATGCTTTGCCCAAGAAAGGCTCTTTTCCCTTATTGCAAAATGCCTTATTACATTTTTAATTATTCCACTGAAATTATATGAACATTGATATATGGCATGGTTTGTGAATTAACGTATTAAGACAAATCTTTATCCATGCTTTTCATCATGCCTTATATTGACTCTTTCAGAAGGGTTGCTTGAATCCAATACAGGTAGTCCTTGACTTACAACAGTTCATTTAGTGACTATTCAAAGTTACAATGGTACTGAAAAAAGTGACTTATGACTTTTTCACACTTATGACCATTGTAGCATCCCCACGGTCACATGAACAAAATTCAGACGCTTGGCAACTGACACATGTTTATGACAGTTGCAGTGTCCTGGGGTCATCCCCTTTTGCAAGCAAAATCAATGAGGAAGCCAGATTCACTTAACAACCGTGTTACTAACTTAACAACTGCAGTGATTTACTTAACTGTGGCAAGGAAGTTTGTTGAATGGGGCAAAACTCACTTAACAAATGTCTCACTCAGCAATAGAAATTTTGGGCTCAATTCTGGTCCTAAGTTGAGGACTACCTGTATTGCAGAGGTCCATAAAAATGCAGAAATAAAAACTGCTCCAGTTTTTTCCTAAAGAAAACGCTTTACAGGACTGCTGATATGTCTTGCTCTCCAGTAGAATGAGAGTATGTGGAACTGGCCCGTTCCAGAGATTCTCGATAGAGAAAGACACAATATTTTGAGAGATGGTGACCACCATGTTTTCGGAAAAAGGTAATAGTGTATTTTCTAAATTTCTCACCAGCAAAAGCATAGATCACAGGATTGATACAGCAATGAGCTATTGCAAGTGTTTCGGTCACTTGAATTGCTATACCGATACTACTTAACTTGGTGCAGCTATCAAGGGATAACTCATTTTGGAACAACTGGATCAGAAGAACAATATTGTATGGGGCCCAGAAAAGGAAATAAACAATCATTATGATAAAAATAAGTCTGACTGCTTTGTTCTTCTTGTCATTTCTGCATCTCAGCAAAGTGTTTATGATGCATGCATAGCAGAAAATCATAACGATCATTGGAAAAATCAAGCCTAAGAAGTTCAGTTCCAGTGTAAAGAACGTGTTCCATTTGTCGTAAGTTTCATGAGGAAAATGAAAAGAGCACTTTTCCTTTTCATTTTCTCTTTGTGCCCCATAAAAGACTATTCCTGGTGAACAGGCTAGAATTGCCAGGCCCCAGGTGATAATGCTTGTGATGATGCCATAGAATACTGTTCTGGCTTTTAATGCAAACACCGCATAGACTATTGCTAAATACCGATCAATAGTCAAGAGGATTATGAAAAAGCTTCCACTATAGAAGCTTAAAAAATAGATTCCAGAAACAATTTTGCACATTGCATCTCCAAATACCCACTGATCTAACACAGAATGAATCCGAACTGGGATTGAGAAAATGAAAATCAAATCAGAGACGGCTAAATTTAATAGGTATATATCAGTCATACTCTTGAATTTCTTATATTTGATTAGAATTAGTACAACTAGCATGTTACCCAAAAAACCAAAGATGAATACCAAAGAATAAAGAGTTGGCAGGACACTGGAACCAAACATTTCAGCAGCCTTTGCTTGGCATGGTGTTACTATACCACTATAATCGTATTCAGTGGTGACTGTTACTTCATTTGTTTCATTTATTAGATTATCCATCTTGTTCCCTGTTACTGAAAAACACAAAGTTGTTTACTATTAAAAGTAGACAATACAAAGCTTTTAAAAATTTTGGAAACATATAATAATAATGCCATATTGATTTCCATATATAAGAAAACACACTGAATTTTCACTAGAGAAAGAAAAGATCACCCTTCATCTACATAAATGTTACCATAATTGGGATGAAAAATTGACTCACTGAAGATTTGCAGTGCTTTTTTTCTAAAAAAAAAAAAAAAGGTGCCGGAACTCACACATGTCATACAACCCGCCTTGCCTACCCTACAAGATTCCATCCAAAAAAGGTGTCGGAACTCCATTCTGGGCGTTCTAGAACCTGACTAGCCCATTGTACCAATTGAAAACAGCTGTATTTTTGGAGATACAACAAAATAGTGAAAACTCTGTATATGCTAATTGATCTGTAATATGTTTTACAGATACATTAAATGGCAAGTACATCAAAATGAAGTTAACTTTCCAAAATTTTGGATCCCAAGAATTGAATTCATTTAACAAGAAGTCAAACCAGATTTCACTGGATATTAATCCCTGATTTTCATATTTTTACATTAAATTTACATAAAATATCTGAAAAGAGTCCATTTTCAACTTATTAAATCCTTCTACTATTAAAGAAGTAGCTTATATAGCCTTATGGCTGAAATGTGTTTGGAAAGTAGCTGAGAAGAATGTGAATCAGAATTAAAATTTGTTTTCCCACAGCTTCCAATGGATTCCAGTAGAAGCAGTGCTGGGAGTGGTGGATTTCCTTGAACTACATACACTATTTTCTGACTCCCCCATTTATTTATTGTGAGTTTTTATTGTGAAGTGAAATTTTATAATAATATCAGGGTTCCCATTTTGTACAACTACACTACAATTTTCATTCTACAAACAGAAGCAAGTTGATGATTAGTACTGAGATCAATCAGATCAGTTTCTTTTCCATCTTATCTGATTTAGAATTCTGAAGAACCAGAATTTCCACAGTCCTTTTTGCCTTGATAATGTTTTTTATGAACATAACTAATAATTATATTTTCCTTCACATATTAGAATAGTTATTTTTATTTGTTATTATCACCTTAATTAATGGTCAGAATATAAATTAATTAATAAAGGAATATAAATTTATGAAAAGAAATAAAGAAGAAACTATCACAATCATGTACTTTCATAAAACATATTTGGGCTTCAATGTTACTCACCTAACACTTTTCCAATGGAATTTTTATTACTCTTATATTTGCAAGGAGGACATATTCCCGTGGCGGGAGTTAATTGAAGAAAACAGTCACAAAGGCTTGTATGTACATGTTCCCTGAGGAATGAAAGAGAACAACATCATCTGATGTTGGAGAGAGAACAGAGTTTTAAAACAGAATTAGGGGAACTGAGGACATTCAGAAATATTTCTACATTAATAGTACAATTGTACTATGCTCAGAGTCTTTAGGGATTCAGCAGTAATAATAATAATAATAATAATAATAATAATAATAATAATAATAATAATAATAATTGCACATATTATTATTGTATGATAAAGTTGCAAGTAGAACAGAATGATGAAGAAGAAAAAAGAGCAGTGAAAGAATATCTGAAGGACATGGAAGAAGATCCACTGACACTTGTATACTATGAAGGCTTACTGAGCTAAAGAAATCAAAGTGGTCTATAAGTAAGATCAAATGAAGAACAAAAAAAAAAGACATGGCAATGCAAAGTATTACATGGCTGGTACATAAAGAAAAATGTACGCAAAACAAATATTAAGACCTGGCAATGGCTAAAAGCAGGAAAGTTGAAGAAAGAGACAGAGAGGTAATTGTGGTTGCACAAGCCCTAAGAACAAATGCATACAAAGCCAGATCTGAGAAGATAGAAACAGACAGCAACTGCCACCTTTGCAAAGAAGCTGAAGAAACAGTGAATCACCTGGATAGATGCTGCAAAATATCACACAGACTACAAGCAGCAGCATAACAAAGTAGCAACAATGGTTCATTGTTGCAAGAAATATCATTTGCCTGTAAACAAGAATTGGTAAGACCACAAAATAGACAAAGTAATAGAAAACAAAGATGCTAAAGTGTTTTGGAAATTTAGAATTGAAATAGAGCAACACCTACCATGTAACACCCAAAATTTAATAATTGCCGATAAGAAGGACAAAAAAAAAATCTGGCTATTGGAGAAAAAAGAAAAGGAGAAAAATCATAAAATATAAAAATCTACAAACAGAAGTAGAAAGACATGGCAAAAGAAAGTAGTAATAGTAATAGAGGCCTTGGATGCAATTCCAAACTATCTGGCACACCACTTGAATACGATCAGCATTGACAAAATCACGGTCACTCAATTGCAAAAGGCAACTTCACTTGGAACAGCTTATATCTTACAATGATACCTTTAATAATATTAAACAACATTTATCTATCCCAAATCCTTGAGAAGGACTTGATAGGTATAGAAACATACCAAATCCAGTCTAAATATCTAGCTAACTTCAACCAGCCATAATAATAATAGTAATAATAATAGCAGGAAGACCAAGAAAAGCAATTTATAGCTGAGTTTAATGGAAACATCATGTAAAGATCTCCAGATTTTGTATTTAATAGGATATGAAGAGAACTATTCTGCAATTTCATCAGGCTACCAGAACTTAATTGCCTACATTTTAGCATGTGATTTAGTTGCTCTATATGTGGGCAAAGTCATCCCACCTATTGGTTTCTGAGTAATTCATCTGTGCAATTGAACCACAAATTAAGAAACAAAGAGGAGGAGCACTGCAAGGTCTGAATCATGACAGAGTCACGGGAAATGAGACGTGAAGAAAAGGAAGTGCTTCTCTCATTCTTCCTTCTTTCCTTTCCTTTTGCCAAACACAGAGGAGCACTGCCAGTTGTAGCTACCAAGAAATAGGACAAAATATGACACCCACAAGATTTCTTCATTGCTGTAGCTTTTAGCTAACACTGCTGGAAAGCTGCGCCTGTAGACCTCACTGCAATGTGGCATTCTGGGAAGCTAGAACCAATGTTAAGAGCTGCTGAATTAATTTTCCTGCTATTGCAGGAAATATTTGGGAACAAGATGCTTCAAGAGTATAAGGAATAATAAACAACAGCAATGCATAAGAGGAAGGGACAGATGTCAGCTTGTTTCATTCCTTTCTGGCTGCTAGAAGTCCTTGAAAATCTCAACGTGTACCAAATAACTAGAATGCCTCCTGCTCTGAATTTGTGATGGAAGCAACCCATCCCATAGCAACTGGGAGCCAGCTGAGGCCCACTAAGCCTGTTTACATCTAGCAGCAAGTGTGAAGGGCCAGAAAAACACCTGCAGCTGGAACTCCCCTTCTCGTCATGCTGAGTTTCCAAGAATCAAATGTGCAAATTCTTGTCATAAAGGAAATTCAGTACACTATCTCTGTTTTACCTGTTTACTGCAGTTGGTGAAGTGGGGAGAAGATATAGGAATGATTTGACATTTTCAGTAGTGATAAGGGCAAAAGGTTGAGTTAGGCTGAACAGTCCATTTCAGGGTATTTTTAATTAGAAATTATATATAGAGAGAGAGAGTGGGAGGGGAGGGACAATTTCAGGACAATTGTTCTGACAGTTCCATTTCCACAAAATTACTGAAATTACAAAAAGAAATCTAAACGCTAATGAAAAAACATTTACTTAAGTCACTATTTACCCAACAATACAGAGTATGTTAAGGAATATTGGCCATGATTACATTTTTGTAAGTTCTATTTTGTTAGAATATAAGATGCAAAGTAATCAATACATTTCAATTCCTATTCTTTTATTTCCCTACCTATTTCCCTTATTTATTTAACTTAGTAAAATTATGTATCTAAGGTGCATATAGGCAAATTTGTTAAAAGCAAATTTAGAGAAAAGCATGTTCCATTAACCCATTTCCTACTAGGGCTGCCTGTGGGGATTAAGAGAGACTCACCTTTTCTATATTCAAGGGTTGCTGGGCTGGAATACCATCCCATGTTTTTTCTTCCCATTTCCAGAGCTAGGTCAGGAGCTGCCCTCCCATCAAGCAGTGTGATCTGAGTGGAGTACTGAATGGAGAGGGATGGCAGAGGTAAAACTATCCTTTGCTAGAAGGATTATTATTGTCTATGGGATTTGGTCTCATCTGAGTGGCTGTCCTTGCAAGGTGTCTTCTCAAGTAAGACATTTATTGGTAGGACTGCAGGTACATTATTACTGGGGGAGTAGCCAAAAGTGGTCTGGGGAGGAAGACCCAGGCTTTGACCAGGACACTCCTGTACTTCAATTATTTGCCAGTCAGAAAGCAGCTCCAGGGTACTCTGAGCATTACTGGGAAAATAAGTCAAGTGTAATTCTAGTTCAGCAGCAATGTAGTTAAAAATGCCGTTTATTGCTGTCAGAAATTGTGGGTGCTTCATCACAGAGTTTTTTTAAAGAAGAAACTTGTCTGAAATGGTAGAGTTTCCTACTTGAGCAGGGGGTTGGACTGAAAGACCACTAAGGTCCCCTCCACCTCTATTCTGATTGATTGATTGATTGATTGATTGATTGATGTTTTTGCCTTCTTTTAATTTTTCAGATGGAATGGCTTTATGTTTCCTTCTTTTCCCAGCTCCTGACTCCACACAGGTATGCAAACAACAAATAAAAAAAATCTAACTACAGGGGTCACATGCAACCTGCCAGCATTGTTTTCTCACTTCTACAATTCCATCCAGATGAGCCTTTAGTGCATTGGAACAGTGTTAGAAAATATAAGATCCTCCTTTGCATTAAGGAGGGGGAGGAAAATTGGGGTACCTAAGGAAAAACAGATGCTTTGAGCTTTCAGATGTGTAAGGTACCCACTTGAACTTATCCCTCAAAGCACTTGGTCCCGTGTGCTTTTAGAATGAAGTTGTTGATAATGTCTTTCTTTCTTTATTATGTTTCTATGCTGTATATCACAAAATGACTTCCAATGGTCCACAGTGAAAACCCACCATAAGATCTCAATGAACAATAAGTAAGCAACTCAACAGTACATCCTATACAAATGTTTGCTGGCTTCTCAATCCACTGGAACCATGCCAGATAAAAGCCTCTGCTAAACAAGACCACTTTAACAGTCTTCCTAAAGGACATCTGGAAAATCACTAGCCAATATGCCTCAGAAAGTCTGGGATGTGCCTTGAGTGGTCAGTAGTCAGACAACTCTGTTAAGGGTAATGCTAAGGTGGAAGGCTATGAAGAGATCTGGTTTGAAGGGCAAAATATAATTTGAAGCACATATGAGCACATTTTTCCTGGAACTGAGTAGTTTCCTTCACAGTTGCTCCGTAAGTTGATGAAAAGATACATTTGGTTTAATGTTCAAGTAGGTGCCACTTATGGACCCATGATTTGTCCTTTGAATCTGCATCTCTGCACTACTGTCGGCCAGCTTCCCAACTGTGCTACTTCCACTTAGTAAATTGGTGAGAGCATTGCCAGTTTCCACCTTCTCTCTAGCCATAGGAAGGAAGAGCCTGGATACTGCTTCTTTTCTTTTTCATGGATCACCTTCAATTTGCTTTTAAAAGTTTGGGGAGTGAAAAGAATGGTAGTATGAAGCTGCCCTAAAATGATATCCCTGGCTATCACTTACATTGGAAAAAGGTTTCAAAAGGCAAAAGCAAGTAAGGAAGCAAGAATAAGAAGAACAACAGTAAAGGTTCCCACCCAAATTAGAAGCATGTTCAAAGCCCAATTGATGAAAGCATTTTTAAACTCATAAGCAGTAAACTCCACAAGAAATTTGTCCTGAAGATGATTCAGTGACTTTACAGTTTAAAGATGGAGACTTCAGATACAGAGGTCCTTCAGATACTGTTGAATGAAGACTCCCAGGGTAGCTCACCACTGAATATACAATTTGAGTCATCCAGGTTTTGCAGTTCAGCAGCAGCTGTGCCTATTCTAGTTGGGGCCCCTGTGAGTTTTCTGACTTGGAACTCACATTCTCAACCATTGTATAAATTGAAAAAGATTTTTTGCATTACAAAGAATCTGAAGATGCAGCTAACCAGATATGGCTAAATTATTCCTGTCTGGGTCATGGGAGGGGGGGGGACATTTAACCTCATCAGATATTTTCTATAAGCATCATTGTCCTTTAATTTCTTCCGTACAAATCATTTCATATATTCCTATGGGAAACCAGACGGTGTTATTTAGTATGCTTATATATACCAAATGCATAAATGTAAACTTAAGCTGGCAGAAGTCTTCTTGGTGTAACAAATAGCATTTATTTGTGCAAAAATAGGCAACAATTTTGGGCTGGTAGACAAATTGGAATTTTGGAACATGTTGTAGGGATAAGCACAAAATAGATGCAGTGGATGGGGCTCATCTATTAACAGACTATGATTATCATTGCAAAATAGAAGCCAATCAGAAAACCATCATTTACCAAAAATGACCTGATAAAATTATTCCATATTATTTTTGTTGCTTCTCATAATTCGTCTTTTCTAGAAAAAGTTTCAAACAAAACACTGAACTACTTCTTTGTGAATCTTAATGGCATCGTTATAAAGATGGTATTAATAATTGTATCTTTGGGTTCCTATTTATTTATTTATTAAATTAAATTAAGTTAAGTTAAATTAAATTACACTTCATTACAGTTACAAGAAAGCCTGGAAGATAGCATAAAACTGTCTTCAGCTACCCATAGGCAGTTTGATAGACCAGTAATAATTTATTTAATTTTCATTTCTCTGAAACTATGAAAAACATCCCCTTATGTGTGTATATATTCACACATGTATATATTACAAGGCTGGAAACTCTAAGAGTTGTACTCCAACAGCATCTTGGAAAAAACGTGCACCAAACTGAAGAAAACCATTCTACTTTCCACATAGAGATTAGTATTATCTCACAGCATAACATTCTCATTTAAATCACTTTAGCAGGTTATTATCCAATATATGTAGATATTTCTATTATAAACTCATGAACAGACTCAAATTTTACAACATTACAGAAACATATTTTTCATAAGGATAAATTAATGAGGGTGAAGGTTCATTCCCCGTTCTTGTGAATTTGTTTCTCAACATTTCGTTACCAGGCTAGGTAACATTTTCAGCAGAGTTTAGGAGATGTCAGTGTAAATTAATGTTGTTTTTTTCTCAAATTTCAGTAACTTAAATGCCTGTTATATAGAACTGATATAGCTGATCTAGCACCTTTCTCTTTGTTAGTTGTCCAGAAAAAACAGACCAGAGAAGAACTACTGTGCACAGGCAGTTAGTTATATTTCAGCCAAACTTCTGAAATGCAAACATCTGTAGTAGCCAAAGATGTATACATTTAAAAAGCATGGCATGTTATTGTTTTTGAAACTCAACATTTCCCTTCAAACTTTATCTTCTATCATGCTTTTAGCAGGATCTGAATATTTTTTATTCATATTTATTGTCTAAATTTCTGTGCTATAATAAAATAAATTGACTTACCAGTTTAAAAACTTTTAAAAGATGATCTTGACAGCATCATTCTCTTTTTGTCAAGTACATTGTAAATTTAAAAAAAGATACATGTAAAGCAAAAAATAAAATATTATCTCTCTGTAGGAAGCAAGGATTGTTCAAATTCTGCAAACTGTTAGCCAAGAAAGTGTCTTTTTTTTAAAAAAAATTAAGAATCAGTTCCTTTCTTTTAAAAATAATACCTTGGCTGATTGGCACTCTCCACATCTGTTTCTTCTATATTTATTTATATCCCAACTTTAATATTCTTACAAATAACTCAAAGCAGAACATATATCCAGCATATCTTCCTCTTATTTTCTCCACAGCAACAATTCTGTGAGATGAGTTGGGCTGAGAGAGTGTGACAGATCACCAAGATCACCCAGCTGGTACAGTTTCACAGTTTTAATCAAGTCTGTAAATTTCATTGCACAATTACAGCGTAAACTGTCAAAACACACCCCAAAGCTCTTGCCCTCTTCACACATACACAGTACTAATTTTCAGATAGGAAATGTGTTTTTTCCGGTTGTGTAGTTTAGTACCTATGATATCAGAAGTTAAGATTTTACTCAATTGGTTTTTCAGAATACACAGGTGTATTCTAGTTCCAGGCAGGTTTGAAAAATGGGTCAGTGTGCTGAAAGCGACATAAAACCAAACCCATATGAGAGAATAATGAGTAAGTACTCATATTTAGGCCTGTCTCTGATAGCAAGATTCCAGGTCAATGGTAGACAGGTCTGAATATCAAAATGGAAGAAAATTATGTTAATTATCTTTTGAGTTATTGCTTTCCTTTCTGGTCAGTGGAGAATTAAATGAAGGACATCAAGAGCTACATAGCTCTTGATGTCCTTCTTGAGACAGCTGCCAAAATTATCACTTTATGAGAAGCAGAGTCTTCACAAACCTGAAATATCCCCCACTTTAGAGTTGTAGCCCTTTGTGGGACATAGAGCTTACTCCCCTACCCAAGCCAAACCATCTTGAACCAAGCAAATGTTAGCATGGCTCTGAAACCATGGGTCCTCTTTCAGCACTGCTTTGAGAGCTGCAGCCACCCTGTTGTCAATGGGAGCTTTCTTCTTCACCTATGCTCAGGTACTTATTTGACCAGCTAGCTGGTGGGATGGGAGTACCAATCTAATTATTCTGCCTTTGGGCAATTGTATTGAGGTATATGTGACAGGGCATTAGTCAAAAAAATCTTTCCTCCTCGGAGGTAACGCAGCATGAAATTGAAATGATTAAAATATTGCACATATTGCATCTGTTTGGGGGATAGTTTCTGAAGGGTTTTAAGTGCTTCCAGATTCTTATGGTCAGTCCAAACTTCAAAGGATATCTTGCTTTGCTGTAGGAAGTGTTTTCCAGGATAGGAGTGCCCATCTCAACGCATATACCTCTTTTTCCGAAATGGCCCACCTTTTTTGGTTTCTGATAGTTTCTCCAGGTGTAATCGGCCACTTTCACTTTTCATTTTTCTGCAATAATACCGTTCCCACTGCTACATTGCTGGCATCTGACTGAATAACAAATGGCGCCTCTGGATCGGGATGCTTTAGGACTGGTTCAGCCACAAGCACTCGTTTGAGCTTCTCGAATGCTGCTTGGCATTCCATTGTCCATTTTAGGGGTTGACTGGGCTTATGTTTGTGCCCCACCTTTAGTCTTTAACAGGTTTGTAATAAGGATGGCAATCTTGGCAAATGATGGAATGAATTGCTGATAGAAATTAACAAAACCCAGGAAGCTTTGCAGTTGCTTCTTGGTGTGGGACAAAGCCCATTCCAAAACTGCTTTGACTTTTTCATGGTCCATTTCAATTCTCTCGTGTGAAATGTGATATCCCAATTAGTCTATTTTGCTTTGGTGGAATTCACACTTAAAAAGTTTAGCATACAGCTGGATGGCCTGCAGCTTCTGAAGGACTCCTCTCACTAACTTCACATGCTCTGCTTTTGTTTCAGTGTAAATTAAACTGTCATCCAGGTACACTAGCACCCCCTTATATAAATGCTCATGCAAAACTTTGTTGATACATGAACATAGCAGGCATCCCCTGTAGCCCAAAAGGGAAAACTTTGAAGTGGAAGCACTCCACTCGTCCCCTTCCCTGATTTTCACCCGGTAATATGCTTCTCTTAACTCCAATTTTGTAAATATATTTCCTTTAGCAAAGCATATCCTTCATTAGGGGCAAAGGATAGACATTCTTCACACACACACTTCACTGAGCCCTCTATGCATGGGTAGACCAAAGGGTCCCATCTTTCTTCTCCCCAAACAGGACAGGAGCTGCCACCTTGGGTTGAATCAGTTGTATGAAACCTCAAATGAGGTGCTTGTCAATAAACAGCCACAATTCTTGCAATTCCCTTTGGGTTATAGAATACAATTTTGGCTTGAGTAGCTTGGCTCCCAGTAGAATCTGTATAGCACAGTCTATAGGTTGGTGGGGAGAAAGCTCATCTGATCCCTTTTCACTAAACACATCCCTGAGGTCCCAAAATTCCTTAGGAATTGTGGGGAGATCCCTCCTGTGTGTGGCTGCTCCCAATTAACTCATTGGTGCATTTGCCTGCTGGGTCTTTCCCCACTCCCAGGAAGGGTGGCTCATCTGGATTTTTAATACTGTCCTCCTCCAGTTCACGTAGGGGTTCCACTTCCTTAGCCAGCCTAACCCTAGCACTAGGGGCCATTCCATCCCAGGTGCTATTATGAAGCTCAGAGTCTCCGAGTGGGCCCCCATCCACATCTCAATAGGTTCAGTGATAAAAGTAGCTGGGATGCCCCCTGCAACTGAGCCATCTAACTGACAGAAAGCAATTGAGACTTTGAGTTGCCTTAGCCAGATCCCCAGTTTCTTGATTAGCACTGGGTTTACAAGGCATCTGGTAAAGCTCAGTTATGGGAATTGTCATGCTTGTAATCAGGTCACTTACCAGGGGTCATCGGAGTCAGTGTCAGTCAATCACTGGTCATCATCTGGTGGGTTTGGAGTTCCATCAGCCTGCTTTGGCAATAGGGTGAACTCAACAACCTCACTCCCTTCAACGCAATTTCTCTGGCTGATGGCAGTGCCGTAATGGCCTGCCCTGCAGGGCTGGGGTTTGCTTTCTTAGCTGAGTGGTTGGCTTTCATTCTGCCGCTCTGTGCCCTTCTTGGCCACACTTAAAACAGACAGTGGAGCGAACCTACTGAGCTGGTGGTTTGACCGCTTCTCTCTTCTTCGGGGGTGATTCCATGGCTGAACTGCTCGGTACTTGTATGCTTGATTGATTTCTATCTCCTCTGCTAGGATATACCAGTCATGGAAGGTTGCAGATTGGGGGCCCTCGACACATAGGCGTTTACAGGTTCATCGTTCAATCCATCTTTCAAGCAGCTGATGAGGATGTCTTCTGGCCAGTCGTTGAGCCGGCATGCTAAGTCATAAAACTCCTCAGTGTATTCAGCTACCACATGATGACCCTGCCTCACGGTTTTGATGCGGTCTCTCATTTTATGATCAGTCAGGGGATCCTCGAAATGACATCTGAGTACTGTCATGAAGTGGTCAAAGTTTCTCAGTTCAGGCCCGTTCACGTTGTGGAGAGTGACCATCCAGCGAGCCACTGCTCCTTCCAGTACCAGGGTGACACTTCTCACTTTGGCACCCTCAGTGGGGATCTCTGGCACTTAGACTTATATACCACTTCATAATGTTTTACAGCAGTGATCACCAACCTTTCTGGTTTTGTGGACTGGCAGGGGAGAGAGAAAATGGTTCTGTATGAACAGCAGGTACAGAAGCTTGCGCAAATAGAGCTGCATACACAAGCATGCATGCCTGCCACTTGTGCAACCCAGTTCCAAACAGGCCACGGCCCAGTACCAGGTCACAGCCCAGGGGTTGGGGATCCCTGCTTTACAACACTCTCTAAGTGATTTACAGAGTCGGCATATTGCCCCTAGCAATATGAGTCCTCTTTTTTATGTTTTATTATTATTATTTTAAACAGAGTTCAATAATAATTATTCAACAAAAATGTGTTGTCTGAGTATCTTATTCACTAATACAAATTAAATTCCTAATCCCTAAATCTTTTCTCTAACCATTGATAAAATAGGTCCCAAGTTTGAAAATATTCTGTTTCTTCTTTTTCATTCAACCTTAAAGTAAGTCTGTCCATTTCTGCACAGTCTAATATTTTTTTGATTATTTCTTCTTCTGGTGGTATTTCTTCATTCTTCCAATATTGTGCAAATATAATTCTTGCCGCTGTTATCACATGTAGAATCAAATATGTACTTTGCTTATCAAGTTTTTCTGGCATTATACCTAGTAAAAAAAATTCAAGTTTATAGTCTACATCAGTGATGGCGAACCTTTTAGAGACCGAGTGCCCAACCCAAAACCCAAAACCCACTTATGCATCATCTGGTGCTGGGTGGGTGTGGCCCATTGGGTGGGCATGGCTGCGGTGGTAACATCAGACTGGGTGGGACTAAAAAGTTCAATCAATCAATCCCAACTTTGCAAGATCTTTTTTTTTCCCGTGAGAAGTTGAAATTGACTGATTGGTTGAACCTTTTTTTTTGTACACGGCGGCAGAGGCCTAAAGCGAAAAGGTTTTATAAAACCCAGCTGAAGGCCTAGGACTGGGGCGATGGCGCACGTGCACACAAAGAGGGCTCTGAGTGCTGCCTCTGGCACCCGTGCCACAGATTCGCCTCTACTGGTCTATATGTTTCTCTAACATTTTTTCTAACCAAGTGTGTATTATTGTCCAATATCTGCTTGCTTTAACACATGTTCACCACATATGATAATAAGTACTTGGTTTGTGTTTACATTTCCAACATTTCTCTGACATGTTTTTAAACATTTTTGCTAATCTTGTTGGTGGCAAATGCCATCTATAAAACGTTTTATATAAGTTTTCTTTGTATGAAGCTGACATTGTCAATTTATAGTTTCTTTCCCATGAACTTTGCCACTTTTCTAAGTCTATATTATATCCAAAATTCTTTTCCCATACTATCATTGCCTCTTTTACTTGTTCATCTTCCATTTTGAAATTTAATAAGAAA